GGAGTTGCCTCTGGGGACACTGAATGTGTGCTCCTTTACTGAGTTCTCTGTTTTTACCTGTTTACCTCCATAGGGGAGGGAGGAAATTTCTCCTCCACCACCTGAAGTTGGAATGAGTGAACAATTTGTTGAATAGAAGAAAAGGCAGATTTGTTCATGTGCAGAAGGGGAAAGTCACAGTGAGGGAGAGTTACAGGAGTGTGATCACCCACATCCCTAGTGTGACCTGGAAATGGACACACCCTCCCTGACAGCGGGTATGAAGAGGAGCAAATGGTTTGGGGGACTCAGTGGGTCTGGAGAGCACACCATGGCCTGGGACAAAGTCTGTTGGAACAGGCAGTGGCCTCTGCAGGAGTCACAGTAGGACAGAGAGCTGGGACAATGGTGTGTGGCCGAGGCGGTCCAGGGGTGTGACAGACTCCAGCCTTTCTTCCTGCAGTGAGTTCAGTTGTCTCCGGTCAGTGATGTTGCAGAGAGGCCTGGAGGCCACTGTGCTTCTCTTTTGGCAATCCCTGATCCCTCAGTGGATAGGGGACTTTGCAGAAGTTCTCTTCCCTCCCCTGGTGGGACAGGGAGGCAGGGAAGGTGCCAGAGTCCTGGCTTCTAGGAGGTGCCCTGGGCCCCTCTTGGGTAGGGTTTCCTGAACCTGAGAACTTGTGTAGCTGAACTTCAACAATGTTGTGTTGCTCAATAACGAAACCTGACACAACCGTCTGAACTCGTGAGTCAATAAGCCTGGTGACAGGAAGCAGCACCAGAGCGGGCAGCTCAGAAAACCCTCGTGTCCCTGAGAAGGGTGCCTTGGGACCCTGCCTGGCCTGAGTGGTTGAGGGGAGAGGACCCCAGGTCCTTGGATGCTGGGATGGTACCTGGGCTGAGAGGGACCAGGTAATCCAGGAAGGTAACCAACAAGGAACTCATCTACGTTCTGCGGTTTGGGGTCCACTTCTAGGCAGGATGGGTGACTTGAAGTAGAACAAAGAGATATAAAGAGACAGGTAGAATGGGGAGGAGAGGACAGACACCTCCACCTGAAACCTCCCACTGAGTTCCCCATACCTCCACTCCCAGGCCAGGCTCGAATTTCTGGGAAATCTATAACTCTTCACTAACAATCTTAAGGTCATTGGAAATTTACCCACTTATGAAATTTGCCCTGTGCACTGCTCATTAACCCACTAATGCTTTTTTTTTTTTTTTTTTTGGAGGAGGGTACCAGAAATTGAACCCAGTGGCGCTTAACCACTGAGCCACATCCCCAGCTCTTTTTTATATTTTATTTAGAGACAAGGTCTTGCTGAGTTGCTTAGGGCCTGGCTAAGTTGCTGAGGCTGGCTTTGAACTCAGATCCTCCTGCCTCAGCCTCCCAGTCACTGGCTTAACACCTACATTTTTAAAATGGATTGAGCAAAGGGAGATAAGAAACCTACAGCGTGGTGCTTCCCCAGGCTATCTAACCCTCACCTGAGGGCCCTGAGAACTGCAGACCACCACCAGCCATCCCGGGATCACCCACGCCCAGCCCATGCCCAGCCCTCGCCGGGAAGAAAAGCCGGGAGCCCAAGCGTGTCCCTGTGGTGGTGGCCAGGTTCTCCCTGGAAGTGTCCTCCTTGCTTCAATATCCGACATGTGCTGGAATTCTCCTCCATCACCTGCATCAGGGACCATCATCCTGGGTTGAGGTCCTCTTCTCTGGGACCTCCTAGGACCCCTTCAGCTGAAGTTCCACCTACAGCCCTCCTCCTGGCGCTCACATGATGACACGGGCGCATGCTCTTTCTCATGTGACCACCCCATCCTGAAAGCAGGGTCCACCCTGTAACAAGACACTCAGGGCGTCCAGGAACTTAGGGGCTCCCTTGCAGGGCAAAACTGGACAAATATTTTGTGATTCAGCAGCTCCCCAGGACAGCGCAAGGGACCAGACACCCTCCCCTTCTGCCTCCTCTCCTCTGGGCCACGCAGAGAGCCACACTCTGAGAAGGTCTCTCGTGCTGACCTGTCTGCCTGGCCATGTCTCCAACCCTCAAACAAGGGCCCGGAGAAACCCCCAGGAAGCTACAATGCTTTCATGGGGAGGGGACATGTTCACTGAAGGTCGTGCCACCAGGCGCCACGGGGCCCCATGCAACCGCTAAAAGAACAACCAGGAGCACTTCAGGGTCCCAGCCGGCCAGCGGTTGGGCCTCACGTCTCCTCGTGTGTGGCTTTTAAAGAACATTCCTACAGGTGGATGTGACTTGGGGCTCCGTTTCCTATTCATTCTTTGAAGGTGAGATAGGATAGGAGGAATAAAACAGGTAGAAAAGAGACTTAAGGGAAGAGCAGTAACAAGACTGTGATTCAGAAGTCTCTCAGACTTTCCAGGCCTGCTGCCCCTACGCCAGTCTCTAGGCCTGTACTCCCAAATTTCAGGGAGATTTGTAAATCTACCTGTGCACTATTATTTAACGCCCATAAAGAGATTAAGCAAAGGGAAGCATTATCTTGAGAAACCTATAACTTAGGGGGTTTTCCAGCACTATCTATTGATCAGATAATGAAAGCCATATCCGTCTGAGGACCCTGACCCTGACCAGACCACCCCAACCGGCCTGGGATCACCAGACCGATATCATTCCTCTATACCTTCCAAGGTTTCCTTTAAAAAGAAGAGCTGAGGACCTCCTCCGAACTGAGTCTCTCGCTCTGGAGATGACCCCTGCTTCCCCTCGAATGTGTCTGCTGCTGTGAGCAGGCCGTGCTGTCAACATGGACCAAACGCCTCTCCAGTGTCGGAATGGACTGCATAACAATGGATTCGCAGGCTGCATCACCTTGAGCGGTCAGTTCACCAGATGCCTGTGAGTCAGTCACCCGATGGGCAGATGGTCTCCATCTCCTATCTATAACACCGAGGCACACAGCACACCACACAGAGATGTCTGTCACAGGAATACAAAGAAAGGTTAAGGCAGGGGACAGGCTGCAGAGCCAAGAGCCCAGGCAGAGGGACATGTGACTTCAGAGTCAGAGTCACCGTAGGTGGTCAGAAAAGAATTCTAACAAACAAAAAGTTCCACAGAGTTGTCAAAGCAGAGGGTCTGGATGGACGGATGGACAGCAGTTTCAGAAGTCAGCTTAGAGTGTCGGCTCAAGGTGTCAGCTTGGCGTGGGCCTTCATGGCTATCATGGGCAGAAGGAACCTTGCTCTGCAAAGCCCAATAGAGCAGGAAAATGCAGGTTTGTCACTGTAGAGATTTCTTGGGGAAAAAAAATACCACTCATGACCTGGAAAATGACCGGGTCCTAGCCCACCAGACAACTCCATGAGATCTCACCTTTGCATGGTTCCCAGAGCAGCCTGGTCTCCCTCTTGGTGCTGTCTCCCTCTCCTGGAGCTAAGCCCCCAACCAAAGCTGGGCCTGCATGTCCTGCTCCTAGGCTCAGTTTCCTTGCCACTGTCATGAGTCAGAAGTCCCTGTACCCAGCATCAAACTCCCAATCTACTTGAACACTCATGACTAAAGCAAATAAATCTGTGTGATTAATGTGTTTGAAAGTCATTGCCACAATTGAATTGTTGTAGTATGTGACATGTTTATACATGTAACTGCATAACTAAGTGCTAGAATGGTAATGAAGTAGCTGGACATGGTGGTACATGCTTGTGATCCAGGCCACTTAGGAACCCGAGGCAGGAGGATGGCAAGATTGAGGGCAGTCTGGGCAACTTAGCAAGACCTTCAGCAACTTTGCAAGACTGTCTCAAAATAAAAAAATAAAAAGGGCTAGGGATGAGGCTCAGTGGCTGAACGTTCCTGGGATCAATCCCCAGTACCATCAAAACAAACAACAACAACAAAAAACAGATAACTAAGTAAAATATTTTTTAGAGATGTCTTCTTTCTTTTTCTTTGTTTTGCATTGCTGGGGACAGAACCCAGGGCCTCAGATGTGCTAGCCAAGTGCTCTGTCACTAAGCGTATCTCCAGCCCGGGGTGGGAGGTGTCTTATACGAGCACCGTATTGGATGGAAAGAAATTCACTTTGACATCTAGTTTTCCTATAGACTCTGTGTCATTTCAAGTGAAATTCTTAATTTTTCAGTGCCTATTTTCTCCCCAAATTGAATTAATAATAGGTGTCCCTACTTCAGTAAAATAACGTGATGTCTGGGGTTTGCTTTAAAATACCTGAGGTTTGGACTGGGGCTGTAGTTCAGTGGTAGAGCACCCACCTTGCACGTTTGAGGCACTAGGTTTGATCCTCAGCACTACATAAAATAAATAAAAGATATTGTGTCCAGCTACAACTAAAAAATAACAATTAAAAAAATAACTAAGGTTTACTAAAAAGAACAAGTTAAAAAAAATGTAACTAAAATACCCAAGGCAGGGCAGCTGGGGTGTGCTCAGTGGTCAGGTGCTCCCTGCACATGTGAGGCCCTGATGTGCACTCCAGCAACACGACAAAGAGGGTGGGTGAGCAATAGATATAAGATTGACACATGCTATCATTTGTGCATGTGCATTGGTGATAGAACCCAGGGCCTCGCACATGTTGAACATATACTCTATCTCTGAGCCTCGTTCCCTAATTTATAGCTGAATGCTGGGCATGTGGAGTCTCATATCCTGCCCTTCTTTCTACCACCATGCTTGTGAAAATTTCTAAAATAAAATGTTAAAAAAAATGCCTCGCCTTGCCTAACACATGACATCATCATAGCTTTGAACAGTGTCTTTGAAGCACTTTTTATTTCTTAGAGAAGGCTGCTGCCTGAACACCAGATCAAGTTTTACACAGCAGCCCTAAAATTGTTGCATCACACTGTGAGGTCCTGTCGACAGGGAGACAAAAAATACACTAGCACCCAGGGGAAGCACAGCTATGCAAGATGAAGATACAACTTTCAACGATGAGATGCTCTGTGGAAGATCTGACCTAGTGTGAAAACTGGGATCCCATCTGGGAAGACTGGTGATGCAGGAAATAAATGTGCAATACATCAAAAATATGTTGTCCAGTCGCTGACAATTTATTTCTAGAATCCATTTGTGTAACGTTTCCAGTCTCATAAATGATAAATAGTAAGGTTTTACTTATAACTCGTTGGTCCCAGGGGCAGGTGAGCAGGGAATGGAAGGGACTTTGAGGAGACGGGTTAACCTTCACCCGGGTCCTGCTGACGCTCGGCTCTGTGGGTCAAGGGAGTTTGCGTGACAGCAGGAGAATCCAATAAATGTAGGAAGCCAAGCCTATTAAAACACAGACATGACTGTGAGATGCGCAGTATGGGCCATGTAGAAGGAAAAGCATTGACATCCGTTCTGTAACAAATTATCAAAAATCATTAACATGGAGGGAAGTTATACTTGAGAACAAATTATTGTTGGCTCTTTTGAAGCCCCTGAGTTTTCTGTTATCATACAAAGAGAATTTTCTAGAGACAAGTAATAAGTCTACTTTGAAACCTGGGAGGGAAGCCTGCCTTCTCCTGCACCGGAGATCGGGTGTCTGTTGGTCCACGCCATGAACCGGGCAAGCCGGGAGCAGGGAACTCCAGGTCTCCCGGATGGCGAGGAACCCTAACTATTCTGAGACGACAAACATGAAGAAAGGCAACATGCATCTTGCTGAAATTGAAAAAAAAAAAGGACCCCAAATTACTCAGTAGCAGCTCCATGGCTGGATGCTGTGAGCCCAGCTGGGTAAGCACAAAACAGCTTGGCTGGTCCAGGAGATGCAGCAGCAGAGAGGTTTATTACTTGTCTCAAGCAAGACGCACACTGGAGTTAATTTGCAAAGCAGTGTTCTCTCCACACAAAGACAGCCCGGGATTTTAGTGGGGAGACTTACACATATTCACAGAGGGAAGATGCACTGTCACATGTCCAGGCAGACACATTCCTGAGCACTTTCAGTTCAAGGTCAGAGTCGCATGTTCACACAGAGTCGGTGGGCACATTCCTTGAGCATAGAATTTAGTCCTTGTAAGTTTTCCAAAGAGCCTTAGCTGAAACAAAAAGGAAAACAACTTTGAAAACCCATTAGCAGTCTTTAAACTGGGCAGCAGCTTCCCCCATAAGTATCAGAGCCTGTCCCCACACAGTGTCAACCTTGCCTAGCTAGCTGTTCAAAGTTGCCCCAATTTTTTAAATCATTAAACACCCCCATCACTGCCAAAACAAAAACAAACAAACAAACAAAAATCCCACAAAACAAAGGCAATACAGGATCACTGATGGTCCAAAGAGTTGTCTCCAAATGAGACAGAAGTTGTTTATTGTTTAGCAAACCCTTTGGACCTGGGAAAAGAACAGTATAGAGAAGGCCTGTGGGAGAATCTGAGTAAGGTTCTTAAGGGACTTTGATAACTTTTACATAACCTTAGCCAACACGAAGTTAATTATACACTATTTCCATCTAACTGTTAAAAAAGTACACATCTTTAAAAAATATTTTTCTAGTTGTGGATGGACATAATACCTTTATTTATTTATTAATAATTTATTAGTTGTATCTGATGGACCTTCATATGTGGTGCTGAGAATCGAACTCAGTGCCTCACAAATGCTAGGCAAGCACTCTACCACTGAGCCACAACCCTAGCCCTATTTTGTGTTTTATTTACAGACAGGATGTCACTGAGTTGCTTAGCACCTTGCTTTCGCTGAGGCTGTCTTTGAACTCATGGTCCTCCTGCCTCAGCCTCTAGGCTTACAGGTGTGTGCCACCGTGGCCAGCATAAGATTTCTTATTTGAATTGAAAGTAGTGAAGAAAGCCAGGCATGGTAGTGCACCCCTGCAATCCCAGGAGGAATGCAAGTTTGAGACCAGCCTCAGCAACTTAGCAAGACCCTGTCTCAAAATAAAAAAATAAAAAGGGCTGGGGATGTGGCTCAGTGGTTAGGCACCCCTGGGTTCAATGCCTGGTACCAGAAAAAAAAAAAAGTGAAAGAGACACCCATTTGCAGGACATCAGTGTATATCATCCAAATGTGCCTCGTGGGTATAAGCTGATTATTTTGAAAACCAGCAGACATTAAAGCAGTTCTGAAAAGGGAGCACAGGGTATTTTGTAAGGGAAATGCACATTCATCAAAGAAACCATCATTTGTAGGAGTGGACTCTCTCTCTCTGAAAGACGGCTACATCACAGGAGACCGAGATCTGCAGAAGGAGTGCTACCTAGGCTTACCTGGCCACCTCCCCCTCCCGCCTCCCACAGCCTCCCTTCCTTTACCTGAAGGAGGTAGGAGGCTCAGTTCTGCAGCCTCCTGGAGTTCACTCATCCCTGAGTTCCTCCTCCTACGTAGAAGAGACACGTGTTACCATACCCCCATTGGTCTGTCCCTTGTTTATATCCCTTTTCTAACGGGGGCCCAGGGAGACCTAGAAGGGAAGAAGGAAAAGAGAGATTTTTCTGAGTGTGAAGAGCCCTGGGCAGGAGGAGGCCAGCGGGGCCTGGAGCCAGCCTCCAGTTTGTCCAGTAGTGTCCTCCTGTAGAAGGACCGGGCAAGGGCCCTCCCGGGCTTGGAACTGCATGAGCCTGTTCTCTTCCCGTTTAACAATGCTGACCACTAATCTTCCACTGATGCTGACTGACACTTGCACATTTACAGAGGTCCTTTATTCGCGGTGTGCAAGGTACGTGGAAACAGCCTGAGAAGAGAGCTGCCCCGACGCGGAGGCAGGGGAGAGGCGCTCGCCCAGCCACGGAGGAGGGCCACCTTGCACTGAGGTCTCTCTTTGTCACTGTCATTGGAAATATGTTGCAGATGCAGAAACTGTGTTCTTTGATGTCTCAGGACCTCCAACGGCAGATGCTCATTTCAGCACCACGAGGAGGACAGGCAGGAAGTAAAAACCCTTTTTTCAGTTTGATGCTCCCTTTTGTGCAGACTGTGCCATCCTGGGCCCAGGAAGGTGGTGGGCCAGTCTCCTCCCTCTCCCCTCAGGGGGTTTACCCTCAGCCTCCCCAGATGTGCCACGGCAGCCTGAGCCCCTGGAAAGGTCAGCTCTGGGCAAGGAGGTGGGCAGGGCCTTCAGCCAGGCGGCCACTCTTCCTCCCCTCCCTTCGTCCCTCCTTCTCCGCTCCATTCTCCCCACTGATGGCCCAGGCGGAGAGGAGCCTCCAGCTAAGGGTGTCCGCGCCTGGGGCTCTGTGCTGGCGGAAGAGCAACTGTCCAGGCGGCCCTGCTGTGGCCAGAGAGGAAATGGGAATCCCAAAGCATCTTTCTGTGGCTGGTCCTCAGCTGCACTATCCCTCAGGAAAGTCCGAGGGAGAGTGGCCAGCCAGGACCATGGGCCTTCCAGGGTCTTCCTCTGTGGCCTTGACCACCCAGAGGTCCAGGGAGAATGTGCAACCGACCTGTGAAGCCTGTGCTGCTTCTCACCCAGGGCCCTGCAGAGAGACGGAACCACCAGGACAGATGGCTGCAGCTCTATGTCTGTCTCTATCTATGGAGAGAGACGGATTTTAAGGAATCGGGGATCTCAAGTTTAAGGCCTGCAGCAGTCTGCAGGCGTAGGGAGGTTCAGACTTGCCCTGTGCAGTTTTGGTAACTAAAGTGTGCTGAATCAGATGGACCCAGACCGTCAGCAGCAGGAAGGATTTCTGCACGTTCACCTGTGCACAGGAGCCTCGATGAGTAGTAAGCTCCAAGGAGGGCCAGGGGTGAAGACCAAGCACCCTCTTCATGGAGTTGGGAAAGGGGGGCCTGGAGGCCGTTTTAGAGGGCAATGCTATTTTAGAGAAATCAGTGGGTCTGAAGGACAGCAGCCTGAGACAGCGTTCCCCTGGGAGAGGAGGTAGCAACAAGTAGGAAGGGGAGGTGAGACTGTGCTGGAACAAAGGTGCTCTCCTGCAGGAGGAGGACCTGTGTCCCCAGGGAGATGACCAGCACAGGACAAACTGGTGTGTGCTCCTCCTAGCCTCCTTGGCTGGGAGTTCAGGGAGGGAACTAGCCAATCACACTTTTTTTGGAAGACCTTTCTTCAGTCAGCAAAGGGGGCTTCATGGAGCCTTCCCCATCCCTGTGCCAGAGTGGGGAAGTCCCTGGTTTCCTCTAGTTCTAAATGTTCTGAAGCATCATTTTCCAGGTTTGGATACAGGGCAAGCCGCAGGCGGGAATTCTAGCAAGATGTGAGGTTGCAGCGGGAGACCCAGGGCAGTCTGGAGGCAGGAGCCCTTCCTTACTGGGCCCTTGGGCTCTTCTCTGAGGCCTTAACATATGAAAGAGACCCCTCAAGGCTGTGGAGGGTCATCTCCTTCACTCAGATCTCCTTATCAAAGTGTCAGCCTTGCTGGGCATGGCGGTGCCCAGCTGTAAGTCAGCCAGCTACTTGGGTGGCTGGGCAGGAAGATCTCAAGTTTAAGGCCAGCCTAGAAAACTTAGCAAGACCCTGTCTCAAAACAAAAAACAAAAATGGTTGAGGGTGTATCTCAGTGGTAAGGTATCCCTGATTCAATCTCCTGTACCAAAAAATAAAATAATTGAATTTTTAAAGTCTAAAATATAAAATGTTAGCCTTATCTAAAACTGCTCCTTCACAGAAAGGCAAACCGACCTGGCTGTCCCTCGGAGGAGAGCAGCAGCCTGTGGCACTCACAGAGCAGCTCCCAGCCCGCAGGAGGAATCTCGTAAACTGCTTAGGAGCCTAAGCTGGAGGGGTCAATCCTTCGGCAGGCACCTGTCTTACGGGAAGTTGGAAGTTAAGCAGTTTTGCCTCAGAATCCAAACTTTGGAACCTCTAGGTAAAATGGCTCCCGACCTCAAATGGTGAATCTGATGCCAATAGCCAGGCTATATGGACAAGGACCAAACCAACTCCATTTTTCCCTGAGACTCCACGTCATGTAAGAAATGCTTCTGCCATGGAAAGCCCACCTCTGTGCCCATCAACAGTTGCCTGGCATAGCAAGGTTGACAACACAAAATGGCGATTCTTATACAATGTGAAAGTGTTCTCTCTTTGGTTTCTGCTTTTCTTGGACAATGTATCCAATCTCTGAGTGTCTAGATGTTAGTAACCATTCTGTAACTTATGCACAACTAGGGACTTTTGGCCCACTCTCTTTTCTACTTAGGATTTTAGATCTCATGACGTTTGTTTGTGCTTTTGAATTATAGCAACAGCCACTTGTGCTTTAATATGGTTTTGGACTGTAAGAGGTGTACTCAACAGGAGAGGGTCAAAAGATGTAGACTTGCAGCCTCCCTCTTAGCCCACCAGCTGATGGATCTGGACCCCAACTAGTGAATAAATTTGTCTCCTGTTTTAAGATTGACTCGGTGATTTATTGCTATCTTGCCTTAACACTGTCATAGGCACCTGTCCTTATGTAGCAGAGACAGTGCTGGGTGGGTGCACTGGTGACTTTAACAGTGTTTTCTCAGTGAGCTTGCTCCTGCTGCGGTCTATTACCTTCCTGGAAACAGAAAGCACACTGGGCTCAGGCACAGTCCACTGTCTGTCCAGGAGCCCATTTTTGTCTGTAATCCTAGGTTTCCAGGAGGCTGAAGCCAGAATATTGCTTGAGTCCAAGAGTCTGGGGCCAGCCTGGACAATGTGATAAGAAAAAAAAATTTTTTAATTGAGCAAAGCAGGCTTGTCACTTCAACCATGATGTCATTTGCCATGAGGGATAGAATCAATGTTTTCAAGCTGAAGTTAGAATTCTGGAGAGCTTATGTTCGTCATTATAAACTTGACCATGTTCCAAAACTAACTGATTTTTTTCTGTGTCTGTGTCAGTGTGTGTGTGTACGCTAAGGATTGAATCCAGGGGTGCTCTACCACTGAGCTATACTCCCAGTGCTTTCTGTTTTTTTTTTTTTTTTTTAGAGAGAATTTTTTTTTTTTTAGGTATAATTTATTTTTAGATACTTACTAATATAACAAGTTCAGGGATCAGTGGAAATGAAAGAGAATTATGCATAAATGTTATTTTACCCATTAAACTATTATTGGATGATAAATATTTGCCAGACACTATTCTAGGCTTTGGGATATAACAATGAACAAACAACATGATCATAATTAGTATTATTAAAAATACCTCCTCTCAAGAATTGACTTCACCAAAAACCTGATAATTAAGTTGTAGGTAAAGGCTATTTCTATCTTTGGAAGCCTCAGCTCCCTTATTTTTATTTTTATTTTTTTATTTTTTATTTTTTTACTTTTTTTTTTAATTATTGGTCGTTCAAAACCTTATACAGTTCTTAATACATCATATTTCACAGTTTGATTCAAGCGGGTTATGAACTCCCAACTTTACCCCGTATACAGATTGCTGTATCACATCAGTTACCCTTCCATTGATTGACATATTGCCTTTCTAGTGTCTGATGTATTCTGCTGTCTGTCCTATTAGAGAGAATTTTTAATATTTATTTTTTAGTTCTCAGCAGATACAACATCTTTGTTTGTATGTGGTGCTGAGGATCGAACCCGGGCCGCACGCATGCCAGGTGAGCACGCTACCGCTTGAGCCACATCCCCAGCCCTGCTTTCTGTTTTTTTGAGAACTTGCCTTAAAAAAACCTGCAACCCTCCTGCCTCAGCCTCCCTAGTAGCACAGATATGTGCCAGCATGCCCAGCACTTACTGACTTGTCTGATGAGGCTGAAAGTAATATTTTTATTTATTTATTTTTTAATTTTTATTTTATTTTATTTTTTTGAGTTGTTGATAGACCTTTTATTTTATTTTACATGGTGCTGAGAATTGAACCCAGTGCTTCACACATGCCAGGCAAGTGTGATACCGCTGAGCCCCAGCCCTAGCCTCTGAAAGTAATATTATCAACTGTGATTTTTAAATTTTGCTTGGAGAAATGGACCAACATTTGGAAGAGCCACATAACTCAGTGAATTAATATTTTCCAAAAGGTCATGTTACAAAATCACTTGTGGGTAGTGACCCATTAGATGTGCCAGGAAGAACAATGGCTTTCGGTCTAAGAGAGCAACAGTTCATTGATGTGGAACCTGCATCCACACCAACAGTCCTGTAAGAAGGTCCACGTGTCCAGCTTAGCTAAGTATCACATTACCTACAAAAGCTGCAGGAAAACCCCTCTGTTCTCCAAGTATAAATCTCAGCAAGTTCAGATTTTCTTCACACAACCTCTCATGTTGGGTGCAATATCACATGCCTATAATCCCAGTATTCAGGAGGCTGAAGCAGGAGGATTACAAGTTCCAGGCCAGCCTCAGCAATTTAACAAGACCATCTCAGAAAAAATAAAAAGAGATGGGGGTGTGGCTCAGTGGTAAAGCACCCCTAGGTTCAATCCCTGGAACCCCCTCCCCCCCAAAAAAAAACCCACAAAAGAAACATTACAAGTCACTGTATTCAAAGACAGACAAAAGCACTCCAGTGTT